AATGTATACGCTGTCGCCACAATGAAGGCAACTACTGTTGTTGTTTTTTGGGAAATATTACACAGTGAAACTACAGTTTCTTCCACTATGTACTTCTCATACTACTGTCTAAAACTACAAGACCACATAGGCAAGTCTTCTTTTGGTAAAAGGCCATTTTGTTTGCCTGAATTATTTTTTTTATGTATCTTCCATCGATCGGAGGTTATCCGCGTGCCTAAATATTTTAATTTATCTTCTTGCCCTAAATTAATACCATCGACTTTAATTTTACATTAAGGAATGATCGATCCATTTAATTCAGTGGTTCTCAAACTTCCTAATGCCGCTACCATTTAATACAGTTCCTCATGTTGTGGCCACCTCAACTATACAATTGTTTTCCTTACTACTTCATAACTTTAATGAATAGGCTATGTTTTCTTTTCCAATGGTCTTTGGCGACACTTGTAAAAGGGTCGTTTGGCAAAAAAAGGGATCTCGACCCACAGGTTGAGAACCGCTGGTTTAATTGATACTGCCATTATATCCGCCTTCCTGTTGTTTGAGTAAAGGCCCATATATTCACCCTCTTTACATACACAAACGCATAAACACGCACACACACACACACAAAACACACACACACACACACACACACAGAGAGAGAGAGAGAGAGAGAGAGAGAGAGAGAGAGAGAGAGAGAGCATATTTATCTACCACTCTTTATCTCACAGTGAAAGAGTCAGATCTCACCAAGTCAACCTATTTATTGCTGCCTGCTGCTCATTTTGCAGTGTCCTGTCCTTATTTTTCATATCTGTCTCTAATTATTTCTTTTTTTCCAAGCATGGTCGTGTATTAATCCCTTTATTTCTTTTGTCTCCTGGATTCAGAAGGAAGAGCTATCAGTGTATTTCATAACAAAATCCGTCGTCTTTTGTTTATCTCTTGATTCATTTGAATCTTTTTTAAGCTCCAAATAAATGATTCTTCAATTCTGTTTTAGATAGTTGATTCTCACAAAGGGGAAGGGAGAGGTGGGGGGGGGGGGGGGAGGCTGTCGAGAGGTAGAGTATAATTCTTTATTACAATACAGTCTAAAGCCTTTCCCCTGCTCTGTGTCAAATAGTGATATCTATGTCCTAATCTTCGACAATAGAGCATACTTTTTTTCTTCATATGACTCTGCCTCCTCTAACGCTAATCTTTCTAGCTGTCGCGATACTTTCTAATGCCTCTTTTCTCATTACATTACACAGAACTCTTCTTCTCACCGCTGTATTATATGTATTTTCTTTGTTAACTTTCTCCGACAGTCGTTAAGTGACTCTGGCTGTTCAGTATATTCCCAACCTGAAGACAGCCGTTTGTCTTCAGTCATCTAACTAACTGACCGCTATATTGTTATTTACCTGATATAGGATGTGAAAAGACGCAATACGTGTGTGTTTGTCAAGGTCTTTATGTCATGTTTTAAAACCAAAACAAAATCAAAGCAAAACAAAAACAACAACAACAACAAACTTAGCATGCCTCTAAATCACATAAAGAAAATGAAATATATGAACAACATTCTGGGTGAAACTAATTATTATCTATCTATTGCACGTATGTAGTAGTAATAATTTAAACAACAATGTAAAAATGGCGACATTCCTGGGGTAAGCGAACTAAGAATCACCAGATATATATATATACATAAATTGCAAACAACACGGACTGAATAGACTTGGACGAACGTTGATGAGAAAAGATGCTAGACTGGATACTATCCATGATATTATGGGGAAAAAACTCTACAGGATGAAATGGGGTGCAAGAATAAACTGCGAACTTTTCATGATGATGACGATGACGATGAATATAATAATGAAGTGTGTATAATTTTTGTTGCAATAGCTTATCAGTATTTGGACGGTAGATACGACGATGTTATGTCACAGGTGCAATCAGAAGTTCTACGGTACTGCTTTACTACATAGATGTTTTTACTGCGTTTCACCCGTGCTTCACTGCCTATCCTCGCCGGCTTTTAACTACGCGATTATTGTCTTCACTTGAGATTCACTCATCCTAAATACCGGCTAATGAATTAGCTACTTCAAATGTTAAACAAGAGCAGGATGCTCTTCCCATTTCACACTATGTAGATTTTAATAAATGTTCTATATGAATACACAGTTTTACAAAAACTGCATAGCAACCTTAACAACTCGTATGATTGATTACACTTACAGATAATGCGTATTTTTTTTAAAAACAGGAATGAGAAAAAAATGCAGCTTGGTGCATCATCAAAACAATACATCCTAGTTTTAAGATTTAATCTTATAAAACAAGAAGATGTCTCCTTCTTGTTAGTCTTGTATTCTTTAATTAAATGCATACCTATAAACATAGCTATCTCTTTTCTTATTATCAGAAAAACAACCGGGGCTGCCCTCCTTCCCCAAAAGCTAATAATAGAATGACAAACCAGATTTCAGCCAATGAAATGGCGTATACAAGTTTCGGCCCCCAGGTTGACCCGCAAACCCCCGGGTCACATGATCGTCTGATCGTCTGATGGCGATGGGACCAGCAGGCAGGCCTTGAAACAGCCGATATTCCTACTATATAATCACCGCTCTCGCCTCGATATGTAGTTATTTTATATATTTCACCAAGGATTTTACGGATAAACAACAGGTTGGTTCAAGTGTACGGTTAATTTCTTAGTTTGCAACCATTTTGCTGATGTTGGTTTGACGTGGTTGAAATTCACAGACTATTCTGTCATGGAATTTTTAATAATGTAAAAAATACGTGCTAAACTAAACATTTCGGTAAATCTTTCTTTGTTTAAAAATGGGTGTTAAATCATGTGAAGGAACTGTTGCAAATGATTTTTATTATGAAAGCTGATGATATAATTGTGTACTTTCCGTTTCTGAGCACGAACGACTGTCTGTCGAGGAATTTGCAACTATGCAAACAACACACATACGACCATACGTATAAATTTCGTTTCTTTTGTTACAAAAACGACCGGTAGATGATGTACAAGTACAAGGAACATTTATTGTTAAAGGACCCGTTAACTGTAAAAAAAAAAAAAAACACCAAACAAAACTGTAAGGAGAGGTTTGAGCATAGCATTACTACAATGTACCCATAGTTTTGATTCAAATCGGTCTCACTGTTTTCCTTTTCAAGATTGCCACTGATTATGCAAAACAAGTTTTTTTTTTTAGTTTTTCAGCGATACCCATATATGGAGTTATTATTAAGTGACTATCCTATTCCGCATATATATATAAATATCTAACTTATATTATAAGTATTATTCTGTTATTTGTAATACTTTAAACAAGATCCTCTCCCCCCCCCCATTCCCCACCACCAGCTCTCTATAATTTCACTGTACTCCCTCCGCCTTGGACAAAGGACCCATAGCAGTAGCTGCCTTGGCCTTATCCAGGGTCAAAGGCTATAGGTACTTTAAATACGTCGAATTGCTCATTTCATTGGCAAGAGGTAACAGTAAGACTTTCTTTGTTGGTGCTCCCACCTTTGTTGCGTCTGTTGACACAGTAATCTGTGTTTATTTATTTGACCAGCCCTTTAAAGTTTATGATTCCTAATTTTTATTTACTTCAACTTAATTTTTATTTACTTTATAAATTTTATTTGGAATATTATTCTAAACACTCTTGTATCAGGTTTCATAATTTACTAAAGTTGTGAAGGTAAATTATTGTTGTGAGTGTAAGTGTTTATGAATGTATATAATTTATATTGGCTCTTAATGTGTACATATGTAACTGTACCTCATGGATGTGTCTGATTACTAATAAATGCCCTTCCATACAATTGTTTGAGAAGTGCATGTATCCTATTAAATGTTTTAGCCAATGTATATGAATAAACATTGATTTTGAGCTTGTTTGTGTGTTTATATACCTTATTTATTTTATTTGTGTAAAATATATATGAGCACACACACATGTACATGAAATAAAATAAATAAGGTGGAAGAATGTATGTGCACATGTGATATGCAAGTGGTAACTAGGTTCTAGCCCTACAGTAAAGGTTAACTACAGCATCTCCTACATCTACATGCAGCCTTCACCATGGTGGTACATGTCACTATGGTGGTACATTTCACCGTGGTGGTACATTTCACCACGGTGGTACATTTCACCATGGTGGTACACTCTGCTCTGCTAGACTGCTATTCATCCATATTTGTAACTTCTTTCTTGTATGATTTTCTTAGATGACTAAAGAAATTGATAAAGATTAAATGGGATGAATGCAAGGAAGGCGAACAAATATTTGGACAGGCGCGTTTATGCACAGAAAAGAAAATGCTGATGTATTGGACACATCGTTATGAGAAGTTGACAGAGGATCACTAAACTGGCACTGAAATGTGAAGCATGTGAACTGAGGAAACGAGAACTTCCAAAGGAATTCTTAAGGTCTCCCAGAGAAACTAAGAAATCACAGAGGAACCCTGAGATGTCCTGAGGAACTCTGAGGTTGGTTCTGCAGCGTCCTGTAAAGGATGTACAATAAACTTTTAACATTAAAGTCAATGCATCTGCCTAAGAGGCGAGGAACCAACAAATAAGCCAGTTCTGTAAAATGGATGTGAACTCAAATCTCAAGTTATGAAACAAGACCACTGGCTACAAGTGGATGTACAGCCCAAATTGTCAGCCTAAGTTTAAAGTGGATGAACGCGAAGAAGAAGTTTGCATGAAACTAACCAGGTGCTCGCAGTCTAGTTCCCATTCTGTTCTGTCCTTTCAATCCTCATGTGACCATTAACTGCACAACATGATGATGACAATCGGTATCTGCTTCTTGCTGACCTGACTTCAAATTATCCTTTCAGGTTTTTGTAAGAATGTCATATTTTAATCTGACTGTAATATGTACACAGATTTTAATGTCTTATAATTCATGTTATTTCTTTCAGTGATTGAAACTTCATATGAGGTACACACCAGTCAGCAGACACATTAAAAATGAGTTTAGCTTTTGTTGGTCGTGTGATGCAGAGCCTTAAGGGCTTCTACAATGGCATTAACCCTGCAACCTTAACAGGGGCCATTGATGTGGTCATTGTGAAAAACCCAGATGGGACCTATCATTCTTCACCCTTCCATGTGCGGTTTGGTAAACTCGGCGTTCTCCGTTCCAGAGAAAAAGTAGTAAGTGATGGAAACTAACACGTTTTGCCTTTATTGTTTAATAGCAAATAATGACATTAATTCTTTAGAAAAAAAATTAGGCTGGAAAGAGATGTTATGAATGCAAAGAGGCAATTGGGCAGAAATGAGATAAACAACAAGTTTTAAGATTGAATAAAATAAATTATTGAACTATTGAAGAAGAAAACAAAAGTATTATAATAAGTCAGTCATCTGTTGAAAATACACACACAAGGTGTGAACAGCCATCTTCAATATGTCTTTGGAATGAACATCTCAAAACGATGATGATGAATGTCTGCCAGTCTTTTGAAGTGAAGGATCCTTTTCCGGGTAATTGTGCATCCGTTATATGGTAAATAAACCAACAACAAAACAAAAGCAAAAAGTTTTTTAAAAATTAATAAATAAATAAAGGATCCATTTTTGGCCAGTGATGCAACAGGCGTATGATCTAAACATTTTTATAGACCAGAGGGTGATGTGGTCAACATCATGTCGGCTACTTTTACGTCCCAGGACTTTTCCTGGTACCCATTTTAGTCTGGATCTGAGAGCCAAAATGATTTTTTCAGCAATAGGCTTTGATGTTGATTTGAACACTTCTTCTTCTAAAAGTCCATGCCCTGTGGCATTGGTAGACACATCTATCCACAACTTTCGGTTTCGTGTACTTTCAGTCAATACTGACACAGGTGACCTTCCATACTATGATGTTAAATTGTCCAGAATATGTTCTCTCTCTGCCTCTTCTCCCCTCCAACTGTCATACGGTCACAATGAACTCCAGTTTTCTCCTTCTCATCACTTAGTACTAAGAAAGAGAGTACTTATGGACTTGTTTCAGAGGCAGTTTTATCACTTCTCTGTTGTAAATTGTTTTGCCCTAATTGTTGCCATGCATATACAGTGTTATTGTTGTAGAACTATTATAGTGAACAAATAGCCATGTGCATATGTTATCACTGACTCAGCATTGATAACATATCTCAAATCAGGGCTTGTATTTTCTGAACTCAGTCAAGGCAAAAGGTTTTATCTGTGAGAAAGAAAATCAACAACTTGACTCTGTCAGCAGTGATAAGTGGCCATCTTTTGACAACTCCAGCACCTTTTCTCCATTATCTTACTAGGTGTTCAGAAAGAGAACAAAGAGTAGCCTGCCTGATAACCAAAGAGGGTTGGCAGGAAATTGGGTACTTTGTAGAAATGTTTGGATGCAATAAAATGACTTATCTGGGCATAGTGTACTACATATGCATAGTTCAATTTTACTGTGTTAGCACTGGCTAATTAAACATCACTAGTGACAGTATTAACTATTTTATCTCTTTCAGGTTGACATTGAGATCAATGGAGAGCCTATAGAGTTGCAGATGAAGCTTGGAGAAGCGGGGGAGGCATTCTTTGTTCAAGAGATTGAATCTGAGGATGAGGTGAGTCTATGATCTTTGATATGGTTTTTCGTGATGTTCCTGTCAGTATATGATTGTGTTTTGTTTGTTGTTAATTTTATATCTTTATTTGTGTTTTTGTTTTCAAGATAATGAGTGAAGAAGTATCACGGGAAGTCAATAAGTAAGTCACAAATAGTTGTTTAAAAAAAAAAAACTACATCCAATAACAACTTGAAAATTGTTTATTATGACACATGCACTGACCTTTTATTTTTCAGTATAATTTCTACCAACAATGATGCACTTGTCCCATCATGTTTTTCAGTCCTACTAAACCTGCTGCATAGAATTGGGTGCTCTGTTTTCTGAACTACATTTTTACTTCACTTTCAGTTTCTGCATTATTTCCAAAATGTCTCCCGCCAAGGTGGGTTTTCAGTAACTAGAAAGATGTAAATCGCTTAGGGCACTGCTTTATGGGATCAACATTTGTCAGCATAATCAGGGGGCATTTCTTTTTTAATGTCCTTTGCAGGCAGCCCCCACCCCCCTCACGTTGTGAAATCGCATGCAAACCTAGCACCACCTAATGAACGGAAACATAAAGTTCGATGTTGCTGTCACCTAGTGACACCTTTAGAAACCCTAACTATATTTTCCAGCCACCCTATAACCATTTGTGACTTACTTATTGAATTCCCCTCGTAGTATTCAGTGTCATTTTACAAGGATTTGTTAAAGAGTGTCAGTGTTGAGTCTTATTTTTTTACATCAGCTTCTCTGTGGAATCTATATATTCTTTCTTCTTTTGTCCCAGCTGGTCCATCATAGCCCACCTAGCAATAGGTGTTTCATCCTTTTTAGGACAAAATTGTATGTTATTTGAAGCCCCACCCTGGCTTTTGTCAGAGGCCGCAATATAGGCAGGCCATAAATATGGCCAATTGTCTGAACGTGGATTCTGGGACCTCTCCACGGCGATCCTCATCCACATGGTGGCACTTTGTGTCATCGGGTGTTTATCGCCTGTGTGATGTCCTAGTGGGGTAGAAAGTCAGTCAGTCAGTCCCAGCTGGTGCATAGCCCTAAACCAAGCAGCTCTGTCCATTGTTGCTATCTCCTAAAGGTCCCTCCATAACCTCCCCTGTGATTCTTTTCTCTGTTTTGCTTTTAGGCCTTCGTTTTTGTCTTGTCCAGTAGGCTTCAACATGTTAGCCACACTTTATTTCTTATTTGTACAGCTTTATTTCTGCACCATTGATTTTAACTGTTTACTTTACTGTCTTGATTTCAGAATTTTCCAGATTACTTAGCAACATCCCCACTCCCTTCTTCCTCACACTTAATGGAGAAAGGGGTTGAGGAGCTTCATCGCCAGGTGTTTCAGGATTCTGATTCCACAGGACAAGTCACAGACAGACTGACAGTCTCCGAAAATATGTTATCTATCCAGGACCCCCGCAGCGACAGTTCCTGGGATGAGTTCAAAGCCAGTGGCAAACCCAGGAGAAAAGTTTTCAAGAAAAAGAAGCAGAAATCTGCAGGATCTAGGTCAAGTCCTAGATCAATGTCAATGCCTGAGAATGTGTCTGCAGAAGAGATTTTGTTTGAGTTGGAGGTCACACATTCTTCGGACGATGATGAGGTCCATCTGCATCATTACGGAAGCAGGAGTTCAAGTTCTCCGGCAATTAAAGACATGGATATGATGCTCCAGGGAACAACTAGTCACAGGAGAATCAGCTCTCAGGGCAACTTTGTGACCCCATACAGTGAGCCAGAAACATCCCCTATTGGCAGGTAGGTTTTCTCTTGTGTCATCTTCTGCTCTTCTCTGTTGTGATTTTTGTTGGCCTTTTTGTATAATTTAAGAAAAGATGTATGGAGTGAGCTTTAGCATAAATGTTCCACACATGATCTTCTTTGCATTCACCGGCTGTAAACCTCAGCAGAAAGTTCTGGTTGTTGTCCACTTCTTGACTGTTCTTGTTCCTGAACTTTAGCATAAATGTTCCATACATGATCTTCTTCGCATTTACCGGCTGTAAACCTCAGCAGAAAGTTCTGGTTGTTGTCTACTTCTTGACTGTTCTTGTTCCTGAACTTTAGCATAAATGTTTCATACATGATCTTCTTTGCATTCACCGGCTGTAAACCTCAGCAGAAAGTTCTCTTTGTTGTCCACTTCTTGACTGTAGTCTTGTTCCAGAACTTGAGTTTTGTGTGCACATCCATCTTAAAGATCTAGATTATTTGTATGCAGACTATTGGTTCCTTGCCTCTCAGGCAGATGCACTCTCATTTCAAAGGGAACCCAAATGTTGACCCTTACAACATGCATGTTAAGAAGGCAGCTGGTATATCTACCCCCCCCCCCCCCCACCCTTCACACACATTGGAGCCCTGAAACAACCCACACAGGATTCATAGATGATGATATTCATGTTATCAAATATTCCATCAAACCATTTGCAGGGACAAACTTTTGCTCTGTTTTTGTTGTTTCCTTCTGCTAGAGCAGCGGCCCTCAACCTTCCTAATGCTGGGACCCTTTAATACAGTTACTCTTGTTGTATTGACCCTTTAAGACAGTTCTTCATGTTGTGGCGACCCCAACCATACAGTAATTTTCGTTGCTACTTCATAACTTTAATTGATATTTGTTTTGCAATGGTCTTTGGCAACCCATGTAAAAGGGTCGTTTGACCCAAAAAAGTCATTTTACTTTTCAATGTTTCTAATAATGGTATATGGATTGGAATAGATTCAAATCACAAGGCACATTCATTTTTATATTAAGGAGTACCCGGAAATATTATTGGAAGTAAAGACATGACGTGATATGACCCTTACTTATAAAACACCATTGGTCTATATCTGACACAATTTGCCCAGTGTGCCCCAAGGCCTGTAAATGGGATGGTCCTCTGAATTATTTGCAGCTAGATAACTGTTATTACATTTCAAATTTCAAATGAATGCATTTTTCATCAAAAAAAAATTTCTGATATCTGCAGCCCCATGTGGTCTCGGCCAGCAACTCCAAAGAGTGACACTGAAGTAGATAGGCAGCATGCTGAAGAGAACCAGACCTCTGTGCTGATGGACACTAGCGCCACCTGGCCATGGGGGAAGTTTCCCACCGCTGTGGAAACAACACCAGTCAGAGATGAGCAGAAGGTGTTGGAAGAGAACAAAGCAGACACATGTGAGTTCACCATTCTCATCAGCTGTTTATTTAATATCTTCTTTCTGTGCTGGAGGAGATCATGGTCTGGTCGACTCAGTCTTATAAAATGGTTGTCATTGAGAAGGCTTACCCAAACGACAAAAGCTTGAAGAAGTCAGATGTTTCGACCAAAAAGTGCCAATATTGCAGCCATGCTGTAAACGGACATAATGCAATACATCCTGAGATTAATGCAGAAGAAGAAATGATTGTCAGAGATTTGCTTGGCACAAGTTAGTGGTTTCTTTAATACTGATCATCTCTCCTTTTTCCTGCTGCACCTAGTAGAGCTAAATTGACCTGTGTGACCTAATGACCCCCAAAAGAGATCTTAGGCTAGTAGAGACAGTAGTCAACAGGTAGGGACCAGACATAACGACACACAAGCTGTGCTGCAGGTAGACTAAATGGTTAGTTTGACGTTAGTCTCCCCAGACCCCGCACATATACACACTAGCTCACTTCTGATTGGTAGTTCCTGAGCCCGTGACATTCACACATGGTTACAAGGGTGTTCTGCAATGCCGTTGATATTGCCTCCCCCCTCCACGAGAGTGCTGCAACCTATGTTACAGGCATTCTCTTTCTCGGAATGAAAACGTAAATGAAAAAGACATGAGTCGACCAGCCCAACAAACTTGAGAATGAAAAGTGACCTATTCTTTTTGGGGAACTAACCGAATGAATAGTCAAAAATCTAGGGGGCAAAAAAAAAAGACTGTCAGAAACACGGGTTCAGAATCAGATGTACTGATACACCAGTTCAGAATCAGATGCGCTGGGGCGCAGGCTCAGTATGAGATGCACTGATACACAGGGTCAGAATAAGATGCACTGAAACACACATTTGATGAAACAACTTTCAACTCAGTGACAAACTGCACTAAAGATGTTAACCATATTACTGCATTTATGCTGTTTGATCGATCATGGATAAAATATGCCTAACATCAATGTCTTCTGCTTCTTTATTGATCAACATTTGCCAGTGTCTACATCTGTGATCCTTATTGGCCATCCACAATTTGTTTTGTAGTATTGCTTCCGCGGGCCTGATTTCCTCTCTCTTTTTGTGAAATTCTAAGTCTTGTAGGATAAGCTCTGGAGTTTGCTTTGATGCCACACGGCTTAAAGTGACAGTCTCTATGACCCATTCACTGAAGGTGTGCTTTGAGTCCACAGCATCTGGATTTGAGTCTAAACAACCATGTCTGCTGGTTTTTGCCTGTCTTGTTGATGCTGGCCATATTCTTACCTGTAATCTTCATTTTGTTTTCTACAATTCATTCTGAAACCTGTTTAAAAGTACCTTTGCCTGTTTAAAGCTCTGAGATGGATGGGTCTGTTGGTAATTGCAAGCTCAGTTGATTTTTCATCTCTGGAGATAGCAAATTAGGTTAGATCCCTAGGGCTAATTCTTGTGGTGTTACTGTTGTTTAAATCTAATTAATTGAAGCCTTCTTTCCTCATAATAATTAACAGTTTATTTACCCTGATTCCTCATTACAGCCAAAGGTTCTAGTGGATTTATGTCTATATGGAGGCCGTCAACAGGCAAGAAAACTGAGATACCAGGTGGCATTTATTTAGATGACCTCGCCAACTTGGAAGATCCAGAAATGACCAAAATTTACTTAGGGAGACCGCGGTAAGTTGACAGTGTACTAGTAAGCATGTATTTCCTCTAAGCTGTTGGTAAAAAGAACAGAAGAGGACAAGTAGAAACTAATTTATGAAGTTGGAAAAGAAAATCTTATGCAACAATTATCCTTCATTGGAGGTTGGAAAACAAATTTTTTGAAGTTTGCATATACCAGTTTTAACATGTGGCTGTAAATTCTGGACAACAATGTCTTCTTCTTCTTCCTTTTCATCTTTAGTGTTCTGAGCCATTGAGGTTCATTGCTGCATATATCACCCACCTCCATTAATCTCTGTGATTGACCTTCTCTTTCCACTTAATCACTGAAAATATTTGTAGATCTGTCTGTATATTATCTCTCCACTATCGTCTTGCTTTACCTTGCGGTCTACTACCATTCAGCTCTTTTGTGTATGCAATTAGTAAAAAAATCAGAAAATACCTTAGACTTCAGAGTTGTGGTTCTACAGAAAACTGCTTAAAACTATGTTAGCTGGAATGAGTGATCTAAATGCTTTGAATATCTTTTGGTCACATCAAGAGAGAAGAAAAAAATGGAACATGTGACAGTTGGAAAGATGTAGGCTAAACATAAATAGATGAAGACAATGAGTGAATTTTGAAATAAAATGTTATCTGCAAGTTTGATACTTTAACAGAAATAAGTTACTTTGCTTTTAAATTTTCTAATTTTATACAAAGATTGTCTTGCAAGTACCTGGAAAAGTCTCATATTTGTTAATAATTTCAGGGAGAAAGAGGATGACACAGAATCTGGAAGAGGCCAATCACTACCGCAGTCTCCGAACTCGGTAGAGGGCGCCGTGGGTGGCCCTGTCAGTTTTACCATGTCTGAAGTGCGGCACCTGGGCCCCGTGGCTCTTTCACTATGTGGTGGGCTCAACGAGTCTGAAGGAATAACCCTGGACAAGTTCATGCAGAAGGTGGTGACTTTTGAAGATCTGGCAGAGAATGCTAATATCACTTTGAATCCTGATCTGGTAGTGAAGATACATGACAAGTAAGGTTCCTCAACTCGCTTTTATCAATATTTGTTTTTATGGACGCTTTTTTGTGTTTACCCTTAAAAGGGTGATTGGCATGTTTTTTTGTGCTCTACAACCAGGCTGCGATATATTAGTCTTTTGGCTGAGGACATCTGATTTCAGCAAACCCTCAATTAGTCGCATTTGACGACATGCTTATCAAAGGGCACCGGTTTGTTATGGGGCCCCAAAAACCAATTAGGGGGCACAGTTATTTGATATGCCCCCCCCCCCCCCCCCCCCGGTCCAATACTACTGTACAGTTTAAATTACATCTTTAGCTTCAAATGGTTCAATTAATCATGTTATATTTATATTTTGTTCTCTCACAGACACTCACCTACTGATGTAACACTGACCATAACACAACCACACATAATATTGACCATAATTCCACATCTTTGTGTCGAAGCAATGGCCATAATTCTCTCCTACTGATTCAGCACCACTGATGTAGCACTGAACCAGTATATCCACTAATGTAGCGCTAAATCAATGTATCCATGGATGTAGCACTGAACCAGAATATCCACTGATGTAGCGCTAAACCAATGTATCCACGAATGTAGCACTGAACCAGTATATCCACTGATGTTGCGCTAAACCAATGTATCCACTGATATAGCACTAAACCAGTATATCCACTGATGTAGTGCTAAACCAATGTATCCACTGATGTAGCACTGAACCAGTATATCCACTAATATAGCGCTAAATCAATGTATCCATGGATGTAGCACTGAACCAGTATATCCACTGATGTTGCGCTAAACCAATGTATCCACTGATGTAGCACTGAACCAGTATATCCACTGATGTAGTGCTAAACCAATGTATCCACTGATGTAGCACTGAACCAGTATATCCACTGATGTAGCGCTAAACCAATACGTCCACTGATGTAGCACTGAACCAGTATATTCACTGATGTTGCGCTAAACCAATGTATCCACTGATGTAGCACTGAACCAATATATCCACTGATGTAGCACTGAGCAAAAATATCCACTGATGAAGCATTGAACATCCACTGATATAGCTTACTTACTTACTTAGTCGCTCCTCTTCTACCTTGGGGTGTAGAGGTTTGCCAGAGAGATCGCCAGATGTCTCTATCAGCAGTTATCTTTCTGGCTTTGTTCCATTCCAGCCCTCTGTCAGTTAGGGACTGTCGGATGTTGTCTTCCCAGCGCACCCTGGGTTGTCCCGGAGGTCTGGTTCTTAGCCTCCCATGCTTGCCATGGTGGCCGATTTTCTCCCATTCTGCATACATGTCCAAACCATCGTAACTGTGACTGATCCACTCGGGTTAGTAAGGGCTGGGTATCAAGATCCTGACGTATTGTCTGATTGTGGACTTTGTCCCTTCTTGTCACTTGGACCACCTTTCTCAGGTATCTCATTTCCGAGGCCTGCAGCTGGCCTCTGTGAGCTGTTGTCATTGCCCATGACTCACACCCATAGGTCAGGACTGGTATATAGGTAGAGCGGTAAACAGCCATTTTCGTCCTCTTGCCAATTTCTCTTTTGCTAAGAAACCCTCGGTTTATGGCCTGGAAGAGTCTCCCAGCAGCTGCTTTTCGTGTAGCCAGCTCAGTCTTAATGCCTCCGTTTTGGTCTAGTACAATTCCAAGGTATTTGAACTGGTTAACCTGCTCCAATGCAAACTGTCCCATCATGATCTGGTGTTTCTTCTCCTCTCTTGAGATCACCATGGTTTTAGTTTTGGAGATACTGATGGTCATCCCTTTCTTTTCAAGCTCTTCTTTCCAGACAAGTAAGTTGGACTGAAGGTGTGCCTCTGATTTAGCTATCAGGGCCACATCGTCTGCAAATGCCAGCTCTGATATACAGATTGGTCTCATCTTCCAGTACCCGACAGAATACTTCTTTGTCTTCTCCTTACAGGTTTTGATGACATCATCCATCATAAGAATGAAGAGGTAAGGTGAGAGAATATCACCTTGTCTAACACCGCTGGTGGTCTTGAATTCTTCTGACTTTTGGTCTGCTGTTCTTACATAATTTCTGCACCTTTTGTAGAAACTCTGTATTGCACTGATCAGGGGTGCTGGGATGTTTTTCCCTGCCAAGCAGTCCCAGAGCTTGTTCCAGGGTACCTTGTCAAATGCCTTTTCCAGATCCAAAAAACATAAGTGCATCTCACTCTTATATTCCAGGGCTTTTTCACTCATCTGTCTCAGTGTGAAGATAAGGTCTTGAGTACTTCGGTGTGCTCTGAAGCCACATTGGGCCTCGTCCAGCTGTGGCTCTACCAGACTTCTAAGTCTCTGCTCAAGAATTCTGAGGAGGGATATGCCTCTGTGGTTTTGACATTGTCTGTTATCACCTTTTTTTAATATAGGTATAATGATAGCAATCTCCCAATCTTTTGGTATAGTTTTGCTACACCAGGCTGCCTGGAGAACCTTCAGTAGAAGACGCTCACCTTTGACTCCCATATATTTGGTGTTATACCATCATGACCTGCTGCTTTTCCCAGCTTAATCTTCTCAATAGCTGCCTTCAGTTCTTCCATCCTGATGTTATCTTCCCCATGATTGAATTCCTTCTCAGCAGTGAGGTCCATTATTTCTGGGTCATGACTTCCCTCAACGCAGAGGAGCTCTGAGAAGTATTCTTTCCATCTGCACTGATATAGCAATGAACAGAAATATCCACTGATGTAGCACTGAACATCCACTGATATAAAACTGGACAGAAATATCCGCTGATGTAGTACTGAACATCCACTGATAAAAAACTGAACAGAAATATCCACTGATATAATACTGAACAAATATCCACTGATGTAGTACTGAATTTGATCTGTGTAGAAAGGGCAACTAAACACATCCTGATTATTTCTTTATTTGCAGATATTACAACTGGGCAACAGCAGGGCCTATGGTGCTTTCACAGATTGTCTTCCATAAACAACTGCCTGAGGTGAGTACCCTCTGAAAATATCTAGAGTGACTGAACATTTGAAGAATGTGTGGTCATTGAATGTGATGTTTCTTCATTGTGTAACAGTTAGTGTTTGGTCTTCACCCTTAATAGTTGCAGAATGTTGTTTTCTGTTACACACAGTATAGCTCTGGTGTTGTAAAATTGGGACTGCAACTGTTAGAATTCCAAAAATTAGGTAGGAAAGGTGAAGATTAAGGGAGCTAGTCACCTTGCTTAAGTATGCTATGACCTAGTATATGTGTGTGTACATATATTTATATGTGTATAAATACACATACACAACCGGATCATTTCACATATACAAATTGTGGGGTTGCCTGTTGTTTGATAGAACTAGAACTAGCTTGGCACCTCATCTTGTTTTCTTAATGAAAGGCTTGTCATTGAGTTGTTGTTTTTTTTTTAAATTAGGTGTGCCTACAGCTTTCACATTTGTCGTCGACCTAATCACCTTTCTAGGCTTTGTTAGTTCTTATTGCATGTTCATTAATTATTCAGTGACTGTGAAGACATAGTTTTTACCTTTCCTCTTCAGATTTGTGCATAATTTGTCTCCTGTCCCAGTTTTACCTTGTTAGAGACGTCAAGCTAGACAAGTCCACAAGTTGTTACCATGGTTATTGATTGTTATTGTTCATAAAATGTTGTGGTTGAAAGCGTCCTACAGTCAACACTGCGGATGTTTTAGAAGTTGACCTGCACTTCAGCATTAATCCTGATTAAAATGGTTACCAGGAGTCTTGTAGCGTATCTGCTAGAGACTCACCTACCAGCCCAAAGGCCTAGTGTTCAGATCTGGGTCTTGGCTAATTTGATTGAAAATTGTGCTTGTCTTTTACGTGAAATGAGTATCAGGTGATGTCATGGACAGTAAAGGTGGCTGTGGTGTCTAGCATCGTATACCCAGTACACCATTGGCATTTTTTTAAAAACTCCTATAGTTGTGTGTGTGTGCGTGTGTGTGCATGCATGTGTGTAAATGGATATCAGAAGATGGTCTGGAAAGTAAAGGTCCTTGCGTGATGTAGATAGACCACATCACTCGTCAAGTGCAGGTTAGTGTATAACATTAATGCTAATACAGAATGTGAGGAGAAGACATATACTGGAGAACACTGCTGGCAATAAAGATCATTGACAAAAACAACAAAAGGCAGACAAACCAGAGGGCAGGACAGATCATTGACAGAAAAAGGCAGAAACAGACTGAGAGAAAGAGTGCTGGATAGTCTTAGATTTAGGCATGGAAAATAACAATAGAACAGATCCAGAATGCTGAGGACCGAGATCTGAGAAGAAAGATGCACAATTAAGCCATCTGGAAAAGACATGTGATGATGATAAAGACCCGTCTGTCCATAGTTACACTTTTCAACCCCTGGGTGATTACAATTGTGCCAGCAGAAAATGTTTAATGAGTTGTTTTAAACAAAGACAAGCAAACAAAACGTATAAACAACAATACAAAGTAGTATTTTCCCACTTGTCTCTCAATGCAGCAAAACAAGGTAAGACATCACAATCTATTACAGCCAGCATATTGTTGTGTAACTGTACTTGGTTTCTGTTGAGCAGTGAAAATGCTGCTAGTTGTAGACCTTGGGTTGGTTTGTAGATTGCTTTGTAGACACCCTTCCATGCCCGGCTTGCATTTTTATTCCCCTGCATGGTCTTTCAGGTTGATTTTCCCATTATGGACATAGTGTTGTTTTTGATCTTTTGAATTTGTTCTTTTTTGTCTGTATTGCTGTTTTGGGTCTGTTTAATGTGGGGTCTGTCTGCCTTTGTTGTTGTTTTTGGTCTGCCTAAGGTTTGATATGTTTTTGGTCTGTTTAATGTGTGGTCTGTCTGCCTTTTTGTTGTTTTTGGTCTGCCTAAGGTTTGATGTTTTTGGTCTGTTTAATGAGTGGTCTGTCTGACTTTGATGTTGTTTTCGGTCTGCTTAAGGTTTGATATTCTTACCTAGTGTTTTTTTCCGTCTGTTTAATGTGTGGTCTGTGTGCCTGTGGTGTTGTTTTTGGTCTGTTGAATGTGTTCTCTGTCTGTGTTCTTGTTTTGGGTCTGTTTAGTATGTGTTCTGTGTGCCTTTGTTGTTGTTTTCAATCTGTTTAATGTGTGGTCTTTTGCCTGTGTTGTTGTTTCTGGTTTGTTTACTGTGTAGTCTGTCTGTGTACGTTGTGTTTCTCTGTTTAATTTGTTGTCTTTCTGCCTGTGTTGTTTTTATTTTGTCAGTTTAATGAGTTGTATATTAGCCTGTGTTGTTGTTTGTTTTCATCTATGTGTGCAATATCTCACACTGATTTATTAACAGCACACATAACTACCCCCTTCTGTTATGTCTGGTGTTATCTGTTCTATGTGTCATAATAGAGCCAAAGGTCACTTCCTTTACAACATTTATGATATGTACAGGGGTTTTAATGACATATTGAATTGTCTGGGAAGCACAGACAGTGAGGAAAGGAACTGTATACCCCCATCTTGTTATGTCATTGCCTTGAATGTTAGTACCTAAAAGATATACCCCAGTGGCCTCAGCATCTACCATGTGGCTGTCTTACCCACCACACATTTGTCTGTATCTTATGTGATTCTTGCATACCTGAATCTTCATTGGGGCTGCAGTGATTCTTTTTATGTGGTATCAGAGCATATATGGATTTATTGAGTAGCAACTTTCTCCTATCACTGTTTGTTCTGTAAAGCTGAATAACCCCCCCCCCCCCATCCCCCCTCCAAAGCTTCTTCAGTCTGTTATTCTTCCAGTGGAGCATGAGGAACAACTAATGCCTAATCCTTTTAAGACTTGTTCATGAGTGGTTATTATTTGCAGCAACTAATTTTTCTGTTTGTTGAGGCATCCAGTTTCATTCACCCCGGCTTTGTTGCCTTTTATGATGGGTTATATAGTGTTACTGTTCTTCGCTTCCCCTATTTGTTCTGGTCACACACAAGGGAGAAAAGGGCAACCCACCCCAGCTGATCGAAAGAATATCCAATCCTTTTACTGTAGAGGAGGGCATTCTAGATCTATGGAGATAACCTTGGTATGCTACCTATCATGTAGCAGCAGTCAGTGAGAAAGGAAATCCATAATTGTGGGCCTATGTCTTCTTGGTATGTACAAGATATAGCTTTTTAAGACCTAGTCTCACTTGTGTGTGCTCTGTTTGACCCTTGATGGATTGTTTGTTTGCTTGTGTTAAACGTGTGTTACTTTTGGTTCTTATCTCTCCTTGATAAAGATGAAGAATGTGTCCAGTGTACTATCCTTGCCAGTTGAAATGTAGACCATAATTTAACCACTGCTTTAGACCCCCACCCCACCCCTCTCCCCCCCCCCCCCCCCTCCCCCACCCCAAATAATAAAGAATAGCACATCCAACATTTTTTTTAGTGCATTATTTGCTTAACTTTATGTTGAAGATAAAAAGAAATTACCACATTGAATGTTTTTTTGTAGTCACAAAACTAGATTCAGTGAGGCATTAATTTCATATCACTGTTAGGGCTGAATAGTCATAATGACATTTGCTAGCATGCATGTATACAAGGTCACTGCTTGTCCCCTCTCCTTGCTGTGAGCACATTTTAGCATGTTTATAAGGTCACTGCTTTCCCCTCTTATTGCAGAGCAGATTTATGCACCTCTATAATGGTAAAATACATTCTGTTGATTTAAATTTTAATGGCGACCTAAAAAACAATCTGTTGATTTAAAATTTAATGGGTGTTCTTAAAGACAAAAGCCATTTATTGGTTGAACTATTTAGATTCTCTATATATTTTGTGTTTATATATATATTTTTTTTAAGTGTGTGATACAATGCTGTTCTGTGCACCCATAGTGTAAGAGAAGACTGAACAATTTAGAAAGACCTGGTGTGAGTTGCTTAGATCAAGGGTAGAATACACGTTTTTAAATCTTTATGTGATAAGACTTGACACCCAATTCACCAACCCTGGATCAAGGAAAATCATTCCAAAATTTTCATGTTCTATTAAAATCTAAGCCACCCATATTGTTGATCAAACCAGGTCTGTGCCAGCCAGTAAATCTGTCATTATGTCCTTTACAGAATGTCATTCTCTTCACAGCAGGCCTGAAAGTCTCTTTTTCTCTAGCCAATTCTACAGCTCTATGTGCTATATAGCCAATGAATTCTCTATGTCCTGTATCTACATTCATGGCGGTCAGCCTCTGCCTCACTTTCTGGACACTGCACCCTCCATCACCCCAGACCACTGAAGCACTTGACATGTCCAAAATACCTCAGCATTTGAGAGGGGATGCTGTTCATGAGCCAGTTCTCCTTGATGTTCAGGTTATGCAGGATGTCAGTGTTTTTCTTTTTCTTGGTCCATGGTATTCTAAGAATTTGTCTTTAGCATTTCAGTTCAAAAGCTCACATTTTCTTATTCAAAGACTGAGAGTCCATGACTCACATCCATAAGTTGCCACAGGAAAGATGCATGATCTCAGAATGGTTGCTTTAACTTGCTTGCATGGGCTTTGCTGTAGGTTCTTCATGTTGTTTAGCCTCTGTACATTTCTAATGTAAGTTTGTTTCCGACTTCTTTTGTGGAGTCACAGGTGTTCTTGTTCATTATTGAGCCTAAATATTGTTTAAAAAATCAGGGATATTTTCAGTCTCTTGGTTGTCGATTTTAATAAGCTAGAGGTGGAATCACAAGCTTTAAGCCAGTTTTCCATATGGTGGTCCACAGATCCTTGTGGGTCTGCCGAATAAATTCAAGGGGTCCGTGGGTCTGTGACATCATTTACCACCTCCCCATCTCAACTTTTAGCATGTCATCCTTTTTGCAGTTTTGAATATTTATAAATTATATGTTCTTCAGTGTGACTAGGGTGTAGTGTTGTCTCGAGGTATGGTGTCTGCCTTGAATGCTAGAGGTCCCGGGCTCCATCTCTGGTGAGGGCTGGGATTTGTTCACGAGGACTTCTAGTAATTTCCCATGGTCTCTGGGAAGTAAGATTGGACCCACGTGCATATTGTTGTGTACGTGAAAAATCTCTTGGCAGTTGGAAATTGAAAAGAGTAGCCTAATGGCGCTGCCCGGGCAAATTTGAAGTTAAAAATCTACTCAAAATATTCCAGGATCCTCGCCGTTGCTACAGAGCCCGTGCACTGTGCTGAGCTACTTCAGACTCAGGCTTAAGATAGGGTGTCCAAGGCAGACCTTTGAAAATAAGAGTGGGCCACAGGTGTTTGCTTAATAGGAACCACTACTCTAGTCCTTTCCACTCCAGTACACGCTGGGGAACTCCGGTGGTGCTGACCTAGGGTGCTATTTCAGTGGTTAGATAGGAATTGTGTTTACATTCTATAGCTGTGGACTTGGCTGTGAGATAGACTTGGTTAATGATGATACTTTGATTAGGCTGTCTTGTTGATCATGCATCTGCCAGTGTGGCAGACACTGATGAGGTGACAGGTTTTATTCCAGGTGTGGTATATTTAGCTTTTGGTTCTTATGTTGTTCTAGTGCATATGTCTATCTCTGCTTCCTTATTCTGCATCTGTGAGTGCTAGTCATTACATTTTAATGTGTTTTTCATAACATGTCACACTAAGCATACCTAATTCTCTTTGAAACATTATGTTTTTTGTATTAACATGGTGCCAGGTACATATGTTTCCTTTATCTCCCTAACCTTCAGGTTTCTCCTTGTGTATTCCAGCCGGTTGTGAAGAGCCTGGAGAAGGAGCACATGCCAAAGAAGGAGAAGAAGAAGAAGGGCTGGTTCTCCTGGGCAAGGTCTGTCGATGTGGATGCAGATTTGGAGTCCGGTGTGGGGATGAGTGAAGGAATTAGCAGCAACCCATCAACTGTCACTCTGACAGACAGTCTGCTGCAGGTATGGTTTTGATTTAGAGATCATCTGGCCATGATTTTCTGCATGGGTATTTGGGTGTGCTGAGTAATGAACATGTGATCAGTCAGCTGCTGCCACTCCTATTGGTGGTAGTCTGCTTTGTCATAAAGTGGATGTGGTGAAGGTTCTGTAGGATGAAGTTGACATTGCAACAAAGCAAAGAATCCATAACTGGAGAGATTAAATCAGCTCTTAGCAAGCAGAATGTCTGGACGATTTTCAACTTTGCAAAGGAAAAAGACAAGTAGACTTTAATCAGGTTACAATTGAAGCATCCGTATGTGATTTCTTTATAGGTTCAGAGGAAAGGTGATAGAGTACATGTGGGAATATTCCAGGTTCAGTGTTTCTGATTCATTAGTCATCTTACTGTTGAATCCTTTTCATGTTATTTCTGTTTCTTTCTGATTTTAATATTATCTTTACCTTAATCCTTAAGTTATTTTCTTTTTCTGTTTTTTGTGTGATCTCATTATAATTTCTTACACCAACATGTTCTTATAAAATTGACAATTTTATTAGAGTTTTCTTTAGTCTCCTACAGCTTTAAGTATGCTATTGGCTGATTGGGCCAATATTTCCCTCTTAACGGTCTGTACAAAGGACAGTCCTGCAGGATAGAGTTTTCTAAAAATCTATTTTTTTTTTTTATTAATTGACATGGGCTAGCAGGTTGGCCCAACCTAAAATGAGTAATGGAACATGTACTTGGATGTAATGGCGGCAAATGTGACTCATCGAATGAAGAATTGTCTTGAATGCGGGGTGCTCGCACCATGTGACTCAAATGTAGAAGAGTTACCTTTTTATAAGAAAAGGATACTGGAAAGAAAAGAGGTAGGATTGACAAGTTATGGCAAGGGTCAAAACTCAAAATTTTTTACAAAAAGCTCTGTTAAATGTTGAGGCCCTTAGGTGAGAAAGCCCACATTAGATTAGTTGTTCTTATCAAGGTTTTTATCACATATAACTAGTGTGTCTACTTTTCTCCCTACCACTTTATTAAGATGATCTTACAATTAGGTATCTTCTAGAACCCAACAATTGTTTGTCTTTGCTGAGAATGTCATCTTGGTGTTTGTTTCTAATGTGAATTGTTTGCTTGTCCTTCAGAAAAGTATGGTTTCACCAAGCCAGTCGCCCAGCTCCACCCCACCTGGCAGTGTCACCAGCACACCAAGAAAGCATGCAGAGAAACATAGTGGCAGGTTAGGTTCTTGAAGTTTTGTTTGTGTATGTGTGTGTGTCCTTTAATTGCTACCCTGTGTGTATGTGTGTCCTTCTTTAATTGCTACCCTGTGTGAGTGTATATGTGTCTGCAAGAGATTTGTTAGATGTGTCTCTGGGATGTGTATAAATGCTTAAAGGTAAAAGTTTATCAACTTCATTGCACAGGAAAAGATATCAATACACATGAGAATTACAACTAGCTAGCTTCACATTATCACAATCATTATTGACTAGTCTTTTGTTTTTAACTGGCTGTTTGTCCATTTGGACTTTAGTTTTTGTACCAGGGCCACAGTTTTGGTGTACATTAATTTTACTGGCTTATTTGTGTGCAGTTGGTTGTTGCTTGCCACTCTGGCAGATTGACTTCAAAGGAAGTTCCTAGTCAGTCGACTTCTTCGACATGCTTCCTGGGAAGGCAGCGGGTGTGTTCTTGATTTCCCCCACTATGGGGCCCCGACACCCACACCGGGATAATGACTAATGAAAACTACAGCTAAGTCTTCATCAGCATACAAGACAAATGGGCAGTCATACAGTTACAAACAAGAGTACACAAACTCATTTAGCTGTAAGTGTAGAGGTCTCTGGCAGAAATATCCATAGCATGTCTGTATAGTAGAAACTCTGAGTCATATGTGAAGCAGGAAGATAATACTGGAAAGGAAAGATGTTGGATTGGGGGGGGGAGGAACGGGGGGTTTACAGCAAGGGTTGAAACTAAAAAAATGTTTACATCAAGCTGTGTTAGACATTAAGGCCCTTAGAGAGATCCTATTAGACAGATCAGTGAGAGAGAGAGTGTTAGATCAGAGTTTTATCACATATGATTAAAGTCACTCTTCTAAGAACTCCTAGCCACTTTTATACAGATCATGAAATCTATTTAATCAGTGAAACTAAACATTTCTCACCTCGACAGCAAAACTGTGCAGGAACTTATTTTTTTATTTTTTTTAATATTTTATTTGATTTGTCCACTTTTTTCTCATTTCCTGTTTCACTTTTGCCATTTCCTATCTGGATTCTGGGACCCATTTTTTATTGGTTGAAAGTATAGACCCATTGCTCCTTAACAGTCATATTGTAAAAGGTGACCATTTATGGATTTGCTGAATCAGATGTATTGAGCCAAAAGGCGCAGATATCACAGCATAGTTGTAAACCGCAACACAGTGCTCACAGTGCTTCAACCACCTTTTTAAGGGAGAATGTAGAAGAAGATTAACATTTCTATCATAATTTTCTAAATTGTTTTACTTTTGCTGTAGCTTTTTATCAGTTAACATTGTGTGCTCTAATGCAGATTGCATCATGATGAAAACACCTCAACAGAAACAGACACTGATGCCTCAGAGAAGGAAGCTTCCAAGTCGCCATCTCCACCACTACCAACTGAACACCCCAGTGTCCAGTTGCATGATATTGATCTCAGGCTGAGTCACACTGCCCCTCGTGCGTTTAAAGCCAGGAGAGAAAAGTACATAAAGACCCTGAGGTTGTCTTCGGAGCAGATAGTGAGTCTTACAAATTAATTTGCTGACTTTATCTTCAGTTCCCCATATGAGTTCCGAGTCCTTTTGCGGGGGAAACAAGAATAGACCCACTACCTCCCCCAAAAAAGTCATGTCGTAAGATTTAACCAACTGGGGGCTTCTTTCGAAGTGAGAATGCATCGGCCTGAGAAGCAAGGAACTAGCAGTCTGCATACAGATTAGTCAGATCTATAAAGGGATGTGCACACAGCACTCAAGTTCTGAAACAAGACTGAAGTCCACATGTGGACAAACAACCAGAACTTTCTGCTAGAGCTTAAAGAGCAAATATTCTTACACATTAATAGCTGGACTGATTTGTTTTTGCTAGCAGTAGTGGTGCAGTGGCGAGACTCTTGCACAGCCTGAAGGTCATGGGTTTGAATTTGCATTGAGATGGTTTTTTAAAAATTATCTTTTTCTCCCAGGTCGAGCTAGCCTAAAAAAGGTACCAAGAACAGTCCTGTGAAGTAAAGGCACTAGGCATTATGTTGAAAACCTTATCCATCGAGTGCAAGTTGGCTTGTTTAAAAGGTGTTTCAAGCACCATGTGCCAGAGGACAACAGGTGTAAACTACTTGTATTTGCTGTGGTTTATCAGAGCAGGCATAAAACAACTTGTATTTGCTGTTTTATTCAGAGCAGGCATAAAACAACTTGTATTTGCTGTGTTTAATCAGAGCAGGCATAAAACAACTTGTATTTGCTGTGTTTTATCAGAGTAGGCATACAATAACTTGTATTCGCTGTGTTTTATCAGAGCAGGCATAAAACACCTTGTATTTGCTCTGTTTTAAACAGAGCAGGATGAAATTAACAGATATTTCTTGTGTTTTATCAGAGCAAGGTGAGAATAACTCATTTTGCTATGTTTTTTTTTCAGAGCAAGATGAAGCTCCGTGAGGGTCACAATGAAATCTGCTTCTCAGTGACCACGCAGTACCAGGGCACTACACGCTGTGTGGCTCATGTCTACCTGTGGAACTTTGATGACAAAATTGTTATCTCTGACATTGATGGGACCATCACCAAGTATGTGTTTAATGGTGTATATGGGCAAGGATAAATGTGTGGGTTAGTGTGTGAGGATGAATGTGTGGGTTCGTATGTGATAATGATTGTGTAGGTTGGTAGGTGAGGAGGAATGTGTGGGTTGGTGTATGAGGATGAATGTGTGGGTTGGTGGTGAGGATGAATGTGTGGGCTGTTGAGTGAGGATAAATGTGTGGGCTGGTGGGTGAGGATAAATGTGTGGGTTGGTGGGTGAGGATGAATGTGTGGGTTGGTGGGTGAGGATGAATGTGCGGATTAATGTGTGATAATAAATGTGTGGGTTGGTGGGCAAGGATGAATGTGTGGGTTGGTGGGTGATAATGAATGTGTGGGTGAGGATGTATGTGCTAGTGTGCAAATGATGGTGTTGAACATAGTTTCATAATTATGATATTCCCACTTGTGATTCTGGCGGCAGCCTAATGAATGCAAAATTGCCTACCAAAACCACAAACAAACAATTACAGACGTTGGTTTTCTACATCCGGTTAGGGATGAGCAACTCACCCAACACATAGTTTTTCATATTTAAGATAACATTCTTTTGCCCAGAAAAAAAAGTGATTTTTATTTTTGTTTTTTAGGAAGGCAGGTAATCACTAAATACAAAGAGCACATAAAAATAGCTGGTTTTTCTTCCCTTTGAGCAAGAAAACAGATGCTTTGATGACACAGGGAGTAAAGTGATGTCTTCTTAAGTTAACTTTGTCTCCAAAAATTGTTTTGGGGGGGGTAAATATAATCATACCCACCATGTCTACACGCTGTGCATTGTGCAGTCGCAACCATTATCAAAACTGTTATGTTGTTGTATTGGCCACTGCTTAAAGATGTCATGTTATATAACGTCTGTGAAGGCGGAAGGTGGCTCTCTTGAGGTGACAGGATTATCATAATCGTGTTTCTGAATTCTTTTTTTTTTCTTCAGATCAGATGCCCTTGGACAGATCCTGCCAATCATTGGACGGGACTGGTCCCAGTCAGGGGTGGCACAGCTGTTTACTCGCATCCACAAGAATGGCTACAAGCTGATCTACCTTTCAGCCAGGGCTATTGGGCAGAGCCGCAGCACCAAGGACATGCTCAAGAACATTCGCCAGGGGGATCTGGTGTTACCTGATGGACCTCTGTTCCTCAACCCGACATCATTGTTTAGTGCCTTCCATAGGTAAGTTGTATTGAGATGCTAAATATAACACAAATATGACTGAAAATCTCAATGGAGGGAATGCACAAGATGCACACAGACACAACCAAACATTTCAACCAGTCTTTGACTGGAAAGCTCAATGGACAAGACACATCAGAGCTGTCACCCCTTATTTACGTCATCACATTAGATACTGTATTGAAATGGTTTGACTATACTGTTGCATATTTACCACTTTTAGGGTGGTGATCATGATGTCTGTCAGGAGATTAGGGAGAAAAATGGGAGGGGGGTTAGCCTGAGGATTTAAGGCCACATGGCTAGGCTAGTGTGGTTGCCATGAACTGACTAGGTTAGGGTTGATATTTTTGCCCTTGATAGAAAAGAATCTTCGCCCTTCACCAAGGATTCTTCTTCCTAGCGTTCACCAGCTGTAAATTTTGGTGGAAAGTTGTGATTGTTTGTTTGCTCCTGAATTTTGTCTTTATTCAGAACTTGAGTTAGCATGCAATCCCTTTTACAGACTCAGATTTTGTATGTGCAGACTGTTGGTTTCTTGCCTGTCAGGCAGAAGTGTTTGATTTTAAGGGAAACACCACTAATTAGTCGTCTCCTGTGACATGATTGTTGGGAAAGGTGTGTGTGTGGGGGGGGGGGGGGGGCGCAGGCAGTGAGTCTTCTGTGTTCTCTAGCATAGAGTTCCGGAGCCCATATGGGGGTTCGAGATATGCTTTCATCAGCAAACAACAAGAAACAAAAGTTGACACATAAAGGGAAATGAGGCTGGAGTAACTGTGAACAAAGTTGCTATGTTGCTAGGTTAGTTTCTTTTATTGTTGCTTGTTTGGTTTGTAGCTCCAGTGTGGACTCTGCCAGTATATCCCTTAGGCTAGCAATGACTAAGAATCTATGGTTGCATTAGGCAGAAAATAGTTGATATCTGATTGGGAAGAGCAGTGTGCACCAGTAGATATACATAATTCTGAAGAATGCGCCTGACAAGATGTATTCAGTATGTCAGCAGTCAATTCTGTTGTTTGTTACTTCATTATTTAGGGTCATTTATTCTAACTGCTTTTTCATATTTTCTTTTCAAGGGAGGTTATTCTCAAGAATCCAGAAGAGTTTAAAATAAGCTGTCTCAAAGATATTGCTGATTTGTTCCCATGTTCCCCATTTTATGCTGGCTTTGGAAATAAATTTAATGTAAGTACTTGGTGTTCAGCAGTTGCATGTAACAATCTGCGTAATATTCACATTCTTTTATATATACATACATATATATATATATATAATTCTCAGGCTCACCACCCTCACCATCCCCTTCCTACACCACCCCAAAATATGATAAATACAATAAGGACAGTTGCTGGTTTTACTGCAAGATTCGTCTTTTTTTTCTCCTTTTCTCTTTTTCCTCCAGGGAAGCATAGGATTTGAACCAACTCATCTGTCCTTTGCTGCCACATACAACTCATCCCATGTCCTTCACAGCTTTGTTCACCTCACTCTCTGTTTCCCTTATTCATGTGTTTTATGTGTACATGCCTCTGTGGGTTCCTAGCTTTGTTCACCTCACTCTCTTGTTTCCCTTATTCATGTGTTTAATGTGTACATGCCTCTGTGGGTTCCTAGCTTTGTTCACCTCACTCTCTTGTTTCCCTTATTCATGTGTTTTATGTGTACATGCCTCTGTGGGTTCCTAGCTTTGTTCACCTCACTCTCTTGTTTCCCTTATTCATGTGTTTTATGTGTACATGCCTCTGTGGGTTCCTAGCTTTGTTCACCTCACTCTCTTGTTTCCCTTATTCATGTGTTTCATGTGTACATGCCTCTGTGGGTTCCCAGCTTTGTTCACCTCACTCTCTTGTTTCCCTTATTCATGTGTTTTATGTGTACATGCCTCTGTGGGTTCCTAGCTTTGTTCACCTCACTTTCTGTTTCTCTTATTCATGTGTTTTATGTGTACATGCCTCTGTGGGTTCCTAGCTTTGTTCACCTCACTTTCTGTTTCCCTTATTCATGTGTTTTATGTGTACATGCCTCTGTGGGTTCCCAGCTTTGTTCACCTCACTCTCTGTTTCCCTTATTCATGTGTTTTATGTGTACATGCCTCTGTGGGTTTCGAGGCCTCGTTGATGGGGAAAAAAGAATAGACCCAATGTCCCCCTAACAGGCACGTTGTAAAAGTTGACTAATTAGTGGCGTTTCCTTTGAAGTTGGAGTGCACCTGCCTGAGAAGCAAGGAATCGACAGTCGGCTGTCAAATAATTCACATCTGTATAATGGATGTGCGCATAAGTTCTGAAACAGTACTATAGTCCAGAAATGGACAGACAACCAGAACTTTCAGCTGCAGTTTACACCCAGTGAATGCGAAAAAGAAGTATGTGTCTTGGTTACTTTCTATTATAACTGTTTTCATTACTCCATTACTGTCATCCCTTCATTGTTAGTGTTTGCTTGGTGGCTTGCTCTGTGTTGTTGTTGTTAAGTTCTTTGAGACTTGGTTGTCTGCTAATGCCAGATCACAGAGGATAAATGTACCTCCACAGGATGTGATTGCTTACAGGGCCTTGAATATCCCCAGCTATAGAATCTTCACCATCAACCCCCAAGGCCAGCTGAGGCACGACCTTTCCCTGACCTTCTTGTCTTCGTAAGTATTGATTAATTATCATCAGATTTTTTAACTTAGGAAAAACAAACTTGCAGGCAGTCTAGTCTATCTACTGCAAAACTAGCAGAAGAATTGTTTTGTTGCCTTCTTTTTTATATCCTCTTTTAATGCATTGGGTTTCGAGGGAGATATATGGTCCTGCTTTATGCTCTTCAGGCTACTTAACCATAGAGGTGGTGCTGTAGAGTTTTTCTGTTATCTTCCCATCTTGTTCCTGGTCTACCTCTGGCTCTGCATCCTTCTCCTATTTTGGTATATGCCTTGTATGGTAAAGCATCAGATGGCATTCTCTCCAAGTGGGCAAACCATTTGATTTGTTGACTTGGTTCTGCGCCGACTTTATCTCGTATGACCTCATTCCTGATTTTCTCTCTTCTGGTCACTCCTACAGTCTTCCTCAGACGCCTCATTTCCATGGTTACTAATTTTCTTTTTTGTGTTGTTGTGAGTGAATGACCACCACGTCTGGCACTGATAGCATAGGGTGGGAATGAATATGCTTTGTAAAAGATGTTTCTTTGTGCGGATTGTGATTGCCTTATGCTATAGGGGTGGGGGGGAAGGGGGGGGGGGGGGCTAGCTGTCCCAATACTTGGCCTGGTTTTGTTCCCTTGCCTGATGAAAGTACGAGTATTTGTTGTTTTTTTCTTATGTACACACAGTATACAATGTTTGATTAAAAATGTGTTTCTTACATACACCCACTGTGTATACAACTACTGGAAGTCTGTATGACTCTTACAGCATGCACACACACACACACTGTATAAATTTTGTTTGTATGTGAGGTAATATAATTAACAGTTTATCAGTAAGCATGTGAAAATCCGACCAGACCCAAACAGAATAGCTAAAGTCAGATATAAAATATTGACACTGAAATTGTCTTTTCCTCTTCTTGTTCTTGTTCTTCTTCAGCATTCTGAGTCCTTGAGGCTCATTGATGCAATCAGTATTACTCTCTCTCTCTCTCTTTCTCTCTCTCTCGCTCTCTCTCTCTCTTTTTCTCTCTCTCTCTCTCTCTCTCTCCCTCTCTCTCTCTCTCTCTCTCTTTCTTCCCCCCTCTCTCCCTCCCCCTCTCTGTATCTCTCTCTCTTTCTTCCCCCCTCTCTCCCTCCCCCCTCTCTGTATCTCTCTCTCTTTCTCACGCCCCCTTACCCACCTTACTAACTTACTCACACTTCCAGTATGTTTATATATACAGTGTATATATGTTCATTCTATGATATTGGCCTTCTCATTCCAGTTGGTGACTCCAGTTTTTGTAGGTCTGCCTGTTATTTTCTTGTGCTCTGCTCTCATTCAAATACTGTTCGCAGTTTTTATCTTTCTATATTTATATGCTAAAATCACTGCAGTATATTAACTCTCATGATATCAGTTGTTAGTGGTGATTTAAGATTTAAATAGGTTATGAATTATTTGTTGCTTCTCACTCTCCATTCTCCGCTGTTTGCATCATTGATGAAATCTTCCAGTAATAAATTTTTCTTTCGTTTGACTTCTCTGCAGCTATGCTGGCATGTCTGACATAGTGGACCACTTCTTCCCGGCGCTGGACAAAACAGACCGGGGAACTTTCATGGAGTTCAACGACACCAACTACTGGCGCGACCCCATTCCTTGCATCGACAACAGTGAGCTGGCTTTGTTATCCACTTCCAGCCACCCCAGTCCAGAGCCGGTGGAGAAGAAATGACTGCAGGGCCCCAGACATCAGAAGTTGTTGAACCGGTCATATTTAACTGGTATCAGTGAAGAGTGTGAAGCTCGCCACTTGCCTGAAAAGGGTTTTGTCTCTGAACAGGTGACATATAAACCCAGCTGTGATATTGATTGGGTAGTTTTCAGAGGTCATACCTTTAAAAGGGTGTCTAATTCAGGGAGGCTTGGTTGCCAGGGCACAGACCATAATATGAGTCTCAAACCTAGTGTGATTTCACTGGACCACAATGGGAACTGTATTGATGCAAATTCTGATGAGTGTAAAGACTGTGAGAAGTTTTTTAAAAATGGCAAAGATTTTTCACTGACCTCAGAAGTTAGTGATAGTCTTGTAACTCAAGCGTCAAATAGTGGTTTTACACTGCAAGGACCAAGTGGTAGTTTTACAATTAATGAATCAAACGATGTTTTAACTGCCCAGGGGTCAGTGTGGGGATCTCTTTCAACAAAAGATGCAACAGAAGCTTCTGGTGGTTTCCACAACCACCTCCAACTGCAGGGTAAAAGAACTCATGAGGATTCTCATTTCGAATTCAACGCCGAAAGTCTCTTCTTAACCCCAGCCACTCCTGACTTCAACCTCCTTCAGTCGGCCATTTCTTGTCCCAAGAATTACTCCACTGATACCTCAGACTTTGAACATGGAGCCAGTTTTACTTTCGCGAACCCAGGCTTTGTAAATAGTGACTTGCTGATGTACGATGTTCTTGTTAATGATACCACAAGAGTTTGTGACCGACTGGGAAACAGGATCACAAGTTACCGCAGTGTTTTATCTCAAGAACAGGAGTGGGCTGCCAATCAAGAGCTCAGGTGCAAAAATTGTGGTAATCCCTGCGAGAACATTCATTTAGGATCACTTTGTGAATATTTTTTTTCTGATTTTACATCTTTGCCAGATAAGAAATGCTGCACGTGCCAAACAAACTACATGTCTCTAGATGATGATCACCTGTGTTCCTCAATGTGGAACTGGACATATTCTTCTGCGGACAAATTTAATGTTGAAAACTTACAGCCTGGCAATTATAATATTTCTGCATTAGTTGATGGTGAAATGTCACCATTAACATCATCACGTTCAAGTTCCTTGAATGTACCACTGTCGTCAAAGTCATCTTTGCATTCATCATTGTTGCCTTCATTTCCACACCATGATAAGAAACAGCAAACACTTCCAGTTGTATCTTTGTTCAACCACTCTGTGAATTTTTGGATCATGGAGATTGATTAGTTTATGTCGTGTTCCTCTGGGATTGTAGTTTTTTTTAGCATAATGTTTGTCTTAATAGGTTTATGTATGAATGTATTTCCTTGGCCTTTTATTTTGTAGGTTTAGTCATAGATTAATGTGTGTGTCAAAGTCTTTGTTTCATGGGTTTAGTCATAGATTAGTGTGTCTTTGTTGGTCTTTGTTTCATGGGCTTAGTCATAGATTAGTGTGTCTTTGTTGGTCTTTGTTTCATGGGTTTTGTCATAGATTAGTGTGTCTTTGTTGGTCTTTGTTTCATGGGCTTAGTCATAGATTAGTGTGTCTTTGTTGGTCTTTGTTTCATGGGCTTAGTCATAGATTAGTGTGTCTTTGTTGGTCTTTGTTTCATGGGCTTAGTCATAGATTAATGTGTCTTTGTTGGTCTTTGTTTCATGGGCTTAGTCATAGATTAGTGTGTCTTTGTTGGTCTTTGTTTTATGGGTTCGTCATAGTAAGTTTGTTAACATTAATCTTTGCTCTGTGGGTTTTGTCATAGATTAATTTGTTTTCATTAATCTTTGTTTTATGGGTTTTATCATAGATTAGTTTACATTAATCTTCATATTGTGGGTGTTGTTATAGTTAATTTTACATTAGTCTTGGTTTCATGGGTTTTGCCATAGATTAATGTGCTTTCAGTAATCTTCATGTCATGGGTTATGTGTTTAATTCCCTGACATAGGTCTCAGCGTAATGGGTGTCATAGTTGAGTTTCAGTTAGTTTCTATACCATAGTTTCCATAGATCAGTTTATTGACAGTAAACTTAGAATACATTCTGGCTTTAGTGCAACTGCCTTGATGATAGTCAGTATTACCAAACTGTTTCATATAGGGAATTACTCATAGGATGCTAGCTATAGAGCATTTGCATTAACTGATTAGAAGAATTTTAAAAATATTGAGAAGTATGGAAGATAATAGGGGACACACAAAAATTGGTCAGAACCTTGTTCTGAATAATCGCATGAGGCATTTTAGCAGGGACAATGACAAGAAAGGAACTTGCAGAGAGAACTGGTTACCTGCATCAGAATAAGCCTGTCCACATCCTTTGATCATCTCTTGAGAAGGGGAAACCTGTAGTACTTCATGCCATAGTCTTACAATATTGGGGATTGTCTTAAATGGACACATAACCAGATAAAGAGAGCAGGTTTGTTTATCCGGTCAGAACAGAAAGACAAGATTGATTCAGCTGTTAATAGGGCAAGATAAGTGATTGGTTCAGTAGTTTTAACTTGACCAGAATAGAAGAAAATGCTTGGCCCAGTTTTAGAGGATGGCCAGTAAAATTAGTCAAACGAGATTCTTTGATACTTCATTTTACTCGCAGGATTCTGTGCTTTATAGTCCCAGAAGTATTTTTATTGGTTGTTCTCAGGACAGTCAAGAACTGTTTTATTTTGTTATTATGGTCTTGAAATGATATGAAATTGGTTTGTTTTGAAAAGATTTGTTGTTAAATTTGTTGATTTATTTTGAACAGATTTGATGTTCTGTTTTTAACATTGTTAATGTTTCTGTTTTTGTATATATAAATCAAAGCTATAGTTGTAAAAAGATTGGTGCACATGCTTGTACTAGTAGTATAATAAATCTCATGGCATCTTTTTTTTTCACCTCTGCTTCTACTATTACTACTTCTATTACTAGTACTACTACTATTACTAGTACTACTACTATTACTACTTCTGCTCCCCATTGGGGTTCTGAGACCCATTGTGGGGAAAACAAGAATAGATCCACTTCCTTCCTAACAAGCATGTCATAAGAGTCGACTAACTGGGGGCTTCTTTTAAAAGTCAGAGTGCATCGGCCTGAGAGGCAAAGAACCAACAATCTGCATACAAATAAGTCAGATCTTTAAAATAGATGTGCACGCAACACTCCGGTTTTGGAACAAGACTAAAGTTCAGAGGTGAACAAACAACTGCCGGTGAATGCGAAGAAGAAGAAGACTACTTTCATTTGTGTACTCTCTACCACATAGTAGTTATTTCACCTTTTGTATAAATTGGCTTCTAATATTAGCATTTTTGAAATTGATTTGCACAAAATGATTGTCTCTGATTGGAAGATCTGAATGGAGGAATTGAGGACATAGTGTCTGTCTGTCTGTCTGTCTGGGAGAGCTGAGTGTATGTAGCACCTGTAAACATTAAAATGTCTGTCTGTTTCCGGAAGATCTGAATGTAGCATCACCTGGGGACAGGTTTTGTTTCTCCATCTTATTGACCATGTTTAGCTGTAACTGTCTTGTTCTTTTACATCAGTTTTTTTATTATTATGCTCAATTCATTAGTGCCATATCCGATCACATTTAAGTGACTGTCTGCTAATCTCATTTATTGTATGTCATTATGTTCTTTATTTTCTTAATCTTGCCCCTCTTCTGTCCTTGGGGGTGTTGCAGTGTTGTTTCTCAGGCACATTTATGTGCAGCCTCACACTGTTTACTACTTTACAAGGCCAGTTGGCATACTGTCTTGTAATTTATAGCTAAGTTGCAATATCTGCACCATTCCGCCCATCACATCCGATTTCAGCAAATCCTTAATTACTCACCTTTTAGAACATGCTTTATAAGCACTTTGTGAAATGGGGCCCTGGAATGCACATGGGGCTAAAAGATTCATGAGACAGGGGTTTATAAATGTAGATGGCATCAGAAGACAAGGTCTATTTCCTGGTGCAGAAAGAGTTAATGATTGTGATTAGCCTATTGTTGTCCACAACCCTATAGAGATCCATATGTGTGGGTGGTTAGCTGTTTATTTCCAGTGTGTCTTGTGGCACGAAAAGGGTTATTTTACTTTACTTATCTTCTGCCGTGTACATGTTTTTGCTTCACCTTTCACCCAGTAAGTTTGTCCTTTACATTTAATTTTCTGACCTTACATATGTGTCTTTTCAACTACTTTTACTCTACTTACCTAACACCTAGTGCATGTTTCCATTACTTTCACTCTACTTACACACAGTACTTTACATTTACATTACTTACCTTTCATGTGTGTCATTTACTTTTACTCTTCTTACCTTACACCTAATGTACGTGTACATTACTTTTACTTTACTTACCCTTAACCCTTAAAATTTACGTAATTATGTATCCTTGACTTTCCTTACACCTAATTATGTGGCCTTTATGTTTACTCTACCTAGCTTACACCCAGTATGATTTAAGGTGTGGAAAGGGGACTTTTACTTACTGAAATTTACTTAATGATTCTATAATCAGGTCGGTATGCTGTCTGGAACACCTGCTGTACTATCTGTATGAAATGGTTGTTTTACTTACCGTTTGACCACATTGCCAATTTGCATTTTGGAAGGGTGTTTTCACCCTTGTATTGTATGGCTGTTTATTATTAATTTTTACAATAACTGATGTATTGCCAATGTTTGACTGTAATCTTCATGGTTATAAAATGTTTTATTATTCGGGGTTTTTTTTTTTCTTCTTTCGGAGAATCATGCCTAATTGTACTCATTTTTTTTTATAATGTGTGTCCAACTTTGGCATGCATTTTTATTTAGGCTCTATAATTTAAGGCAACAGTTCCTTCTTTCTTTCTTCTTGTGCGTTCATCCGAAGAAGCAAATAACCATTTGCAGCATGACTGCGATATTTGCACCTTTCGGCTGACACATCTGACTTCTGCAAGCATTTGTTGCCCAGGTTACCTTCCCGGGTTCTCTCTTCCTGTGTGTGTTTTTCTTTTCTAGTAAAAAGTTTTGTATTGTCAGTATGAATTTTATGGAGTGCAGTCTGTGATATTTAAAGGTGAATACTGTGCTGAGAAAACTAAACTGTGCCTCTGTCTCATTATTGACAGGTTTTGATGATTCTGTTCAGAAAATGTTTTTTCTTCGTTATAGTTACATATTTTTTGTTTGCTGTTGTTAACACACATGTTTGTTAACACTTTGGTTTGAATAGTTAAAAGTATGTTAACTCCTTTTAATTTGAATTAACAGATTGAATCATTTTTGTTTGTTTACAATTATACACACAAGTTGAATGATTGTTTAAAATTATATGCACATATTGAAGGATGGTTGTTGGTTTAAAACTAGATGCATCGGTTGATAGATTGCTGTGCAGTTAAAATAAGACCACTGAATGATTGCTGTACAGTTAAAATGAGACTACTGAATGATTGTTGTACAGTTAAAAATGAGACTACTGAATGATTTGTTTAGAGTTAAAATGAGACCACTAAATGAGAGTACTCAACGATTGTTGTACAGTTAAAAAGAGACTACTGAATGATGCTGTACAGTTAAAATGAGACTTCTTAACGATTGTTGTACAAATAAAATGAGAATACTGAATGATTGTTGTACAGTTGAGACTACTGAATGATTGTTGTACAGTTGAGACTACTGAATGATTGTTGTACAGTTAAAAATAAGACCGCTGAATGTTTGTTATGCAGTTAAAATGGGACTGCTAAATGAGGCTACTGAATTGATTGCTGTAAGTTAAAATAAGACTACTGAATGATTGTTGTACAGTTAAAATGAGACCACTAAATGCAACTACTGAATGATTGCTGTACAGTTAAGATTAGACTACTGAATGATTGTTGTACAACTAAAATGAGACTACTGAATGATTGTTGTACAGTTAAAAATTAGATGCTGAAATTTTATTATGCAGTTAAAATGAGACTACTAAATGACGCTACTGAATTATTGCTGTACAGTTAAAATGAGACTACTAAATGATTGTTGTACAGTTAAAATGAGACTACTAAATGATTGCTGTACAGTTAAAATGAGACTACTTAATGATTGTTGTACAGTTAAAATGAGACCACTAAATGTAACTACTGAATGATTGCTGTAAAGTTAAAATTAGACTACTGAATGATTGTTGTACAACTAAAATGAGACTACTGAATGATTGTTGCACAGTTGAAATTAGACACTTGAATGATTGCTGTACAGTTAAAATGAGACCGTTGAATGACA